ATTTGTTGTTGCAAGTCTGTAAAAAGTGGAAAGTGTGTCATTGACTTTCAAAACAAAGACATTATGCAAGCACTGAAAAGATACTAATTTCATAATTGTTACTCTTTAACTCCTGATTTTTTTTCTGGAGGATGGAACATGGAGGGCGAGGGTCTGCTGGGACTGGGCCTGCGTTCTCAGCTGTGACAGCAGGATTATGGATATATTTCCTTTCTCTACCTCCCACAGGAAAGTTCTGTGATTCTGTTTTATCATTTATGAAGCCCAGTTTTGGGTGGAAGGTCTTCCATCAGGCATGTATCACTCTTAAAATTTTATATTCCTATATAATAGTGACATGGTACTGGCGAAGTGTGTAGTTTTTCCAGGTTAATTTTTCTTCTCATATTTTAAACTTTGCATTCATATTGTTTCCTGTTCTGAAAACAGCACTACTCTTGGCTTGCTGTTTTGCACATCAGGAAGTATGTCCTTCCTATTAGCTAAAAGGGGAGACTGACTAAGTAGGATCCTTTTCCCTTCTTTTGGCTTGCTAGTAACAGTTTCCTCTTAAATCTATATCTGAACCATTTTTGATACATATATTGCAAACGGCAAAGTTGAGTTACTCCTACATTGTATAGAGATCATGCAATTGTAATGTATATAATACTAGTTTGTCTTTCCATGACTAGCCCACCATTCTGTTTGACTGACACAGTAGCTGTCTTCATTACCTTCTAAGTGATTTGCCCGTGCTGCATTTGATGGGTCTTACAAGCATTTAATTTGTGAGGAGGATATTCCAACAAATGTACTCTGAAGGGTACTGCAAAATGTTCTGCTCAGTACATTATCCTGCTATACTTGAATGACTGCCACTTAAAAATTTCTTTAGACAAGAGGGGAAAAGTGCCAATGATATATGATACAAGAGGATCAGAGGGGAATAATTGTACAGTTGCCCCTTCTGTGAGTGCGTGTTAAGTCTTTGGAGGAAGTGCAAAACAGAGGGCTGGAGGAAGGAACTGCATTTCCCCAGGAAGGTTGATTCGAGGTTGTTTTTTTTTTTAAATTGGTGTACTTGGGATTAAGATGGTTCAAGTGATAACACTTGCTGAAGGCAGAGAGGGTGATTATTATCAACATAGGGGTTTTTTTAATAGAAAAAGTAGATAAACAGGGCTGGGAGTTGAAAACAGTTACGCAGTGCAAGGTCTGGTTTTGGGGAATAACAGTCCCCATTTTGAGAAGAAATTCATGTTATCTGTTGGAAAGAGGCATGGAGAATGCCTTATGCTAGTTAATCATAGCATAATAACAGTATTTTGGTGTCATGTAAGTGTGAACAAGGTGAGACCCAGTTTGTCTAGACCAAAAGGTAAACAGCAGAAGTCTGTTACATGATCAATGATAGAAAAGAAAGAGACTGCTCATGAAGTACTGGTACTGGGGATGGAAGACTGTTTAGCATAATACCTCATGTACTATGTTCCAACTCAGTATGTCTTGGGTATTTTGTAAAATTTGCTAAAGTATTTTTGAGATTTTGTACAATTTGTCGAAGTCCTTTTTGAGACTTATGTCAGGGTTGCAAGAGCAAGAAAAAACATTTTATGAAAGATCAACTGATCGCCATGAAGTGTTTGAATGAGTTAAGGTTAGTAGCAAAAAATAAAGTTGTACATCTAAAGGATCAAATTACTTTAAGAACATGATAAAATTCTTGCCTTTAAAAAAGAAAGCAGAAATAGAACTTACTGGAACTAGTGTGAAAATTGTATTTTATATGCTTTTAAAATAAATCTTACGTAGTTTATGTATGTCATGTTTGAGTTTCAATTTTGTGTAAGGTCTGCAATCTCATTTTGTTACACAGTAAAGGAAAAATAATTACAAAGGCTATCAGGTATTGCGGAGTAAACTTTGTTAAATGCGGAACATAATCATAAGCAGAATTACAGATGACTTCATAGTAAAATGAAATGCTTAAAAGGTATTTATTAGGAAATAGCTTGTCAGTGAAAAGTTTTGTATACAAAAATGAGGAAGATGAACTTTTTGTATTTCTATAACTATCTTAGAGCTAGTTGTAAAATGAAGGCTATAAAGTTTTTGTTTGTTGCTGTCTGTATGTCATGAAAGAGCCAAATGGTTTCTAAAATGTACAGTCACAAAGTGATTATAAAATTCCCGAGGGGAGCTCTGATGGGGCTATCATAACTTAACAATGGAATGGTGAGTCACTGCAGGAGGAATTAATGTAATAATCTTTTCCGGTATTTATAGGACCAGGAGGATAAAATGTCATTTAATTTTATTTGATTAAAAACTACTAGGTAAGAGATAAAGATGAAGGAAAAAAGAAGCATCTTTTTTCAGGCATGAAAGATGAATGGAATGTATAAAATGCATATTATGAAGCAGTATAGTATAGTGATTAATTTTAAATCTGATCAGTGCTCTAAAATAGTTGTGTTAATAAAGAAATTATTTGATAATGTAAGGTGATTTTTTTTTTTAGGTTCTAGGTGCAAAGTGTTGCTTTTGAGTGAAACAGCTAGATTGAGGCATCTGTATGAGTTCTTGTTTGCTAGTTTAGGCATATGTATCTGTGTAGTTCAAAGATCATACATGGAAGATCTTTATGTACCTTTAAAAGTTATGCCAAAATGTACTTAATGTAGCCTTAATTAGGTTTGCTAGGATGCCAAAAATGCTTTAGCCTATTCCATTAATGCTGGCGGTGCAATATTTTATCTAGCACTCTTTTCAGTCCTGCAGTCACTTCTGCTTGAATCAGAGGTGTATCCTCTTTTATGTAGTGCTCCCAATTTAAAGATCATGTTACAGTTATCTACTGTTCCTTACAGGTTTGGTTCGTTTGTGTTGGTTCTTTCAGAAAGGGCAATATAATTTGGTGAGCATCTGTTTATTCACAGTGAATGCTTGCATGAATTCTTAACCAAAGCTTCTAGATGCTGTCGCAGTATTGAGAGTGTGTCGCTATGTCATGGTACAATGATCCTTATCCTTTCTCCTCTTCTCCTTTGCACTGCTAGTATTAATTTTTGGTTTATTTATAAGAACTTCTGTGTGGTTTGTTAATATTCAGCATGTGTAAGGGGTTTATCAAGCTTAAAGTTTATCGAATTTGAAATTGCTGAAAGCAGAGGCAGATGTGTGGGAGGAAAGGTGAGACAAGTAAAATCACGAATAGAAGTATTCTTGAATGAGCCACAAGATCTTCAAAAATTCATTTGGAGGAAAAAAAAGCAATATTAAGTATTGCTTAAATAGCAAAAATGTCTAGATAAATGCTTGGCCAAAAAAGTCCCTAACTCATTTTCTGCTATTCACACTTGATGAAACAAAGGACCTTCTCCATAGTACGGAAATGTTGGTGAGAGAAAGGCACAAAGGATCAAATCTGGGTAATACTTTCTAGAGATCACCAAAGAAGAATTAGACGTTTAGAAAACAAACAGATGTGCAAGAAATAAGGAAATTGCTCAACATATTGGTGAGAAAAGACTGTTTTCTGGAACTTCACATTACTAGTGAGTTTAAGTGGAATAAAATTATTATTCCAAACTTTTTTTGTTTTAAAGAAGATAAATAGCTGCTCTAGCATTTTCTATACCTTCCTTGACTCTTGCTGCCAACACTGTAGGTCTGTTTTAGGAAAGGAAATGTTGAGGTTTTAAAAAAAATTTAGTGCTAGATTTCTAGCTATAATATCAAATAAGATTGTTTCTTGGTTCTTTTTTTAAACAAAACAAAGCAACCAAATCCAACCCAGAAGATGTTACTAGTGTTGATTAAAGCTATATTTTCCAAGAGAAATGATGATGTAATTTAGATTGGTTTTGATTGTTTTGTGTTGCTGCAGAATAAGTGCAATCCTAAATGACACTTAAGACTGTTGTGACTAAGTTTTTAAGTGCATTTTTGAGTCGGTAAATCCTATGCAATAAAGAAGTGGTTCTAACTTTCTGTTGTTCCTTCACATTTTTCTAAAGGGATTTTTCTACAGAAATAAAAGATAAAAGTGAAAGGTCTGTTTATTACTTATGTACTTCTGTACATATGTACTTATGTACTTCTGGTAAGGATTAAATGGAAATAACTTGAGTGGAAATCAAAGAATATGAGATATTTCTTGGAAATTTTAAGAATAATTTAAGAAGGTTTGTGTATTTCCTAGAATTCATTATATTTTTTGCAATTTTCTAAGCTAAATGCAGAGTTAACAATTGGTAATTTTCATTTAAGTGAGATAATGCAAATTTTGCTAAGATTGCTGTTAAGGTGGGTATTCCTATGGTATTCTGCATCTAATCAACACATGTAATGATGGTAGAGAAGATACAGCAGGACTGGGCTTCAGTGTGTCTTAGTAACCTAAATACATGGCTTTGTCCTTGCACAGCAAACCTGGAATCAGTGGTACTGTGTCTTGAAAACTTACACTTTCTGTGCTAGTTAGGTTTGTCTCAGTCGGGATATATATGTGCCTGTGCTGCCATCACACTTTGATCTGTGGTATAAAACTATGGTAGTGTCATTTTTTTTTAATTGATACACAATACATCAACCTTTCTTTTAGACACATTCTTACAAAGCAGATGGTGCTGATTACTTCCTATAGTCCTATGTCCTGTAGATCTTTGTATCCATCAAATTGAGCAAGTCCAAACAAAGCAGTCAAACAAGTGGCTTTCCTATAAACTCAAAATGTAAAGAAATGGGACAAGTATGAAGGTGCAGTTGGTTGTACCAAATGATTGTCCTTTTTGTTCTGGAAGGATTGCTGGGGGGAAGGTCACAACCCCTAAAGATTACTGTGACATGATTGCAATTCTGCACAAACTATGAAAATACCTCCAAGCAGGCAGCGTGGCTGTACGGAATGGTATGTTTTCCTCCAGCGTATGAGAGAGATTAGCTAAAGAAGCTTTAAATCAACAATCGGTTTATCACTATTCTAAGGTAAAGGTGTTGTCTTTTTCACTCAACAGCGTTTCCTTGATATGACGTTTGGAGCCGGAGGTCATACTACAGCTCTTCTAGAGAAAGCCAGTGACATTACAGTATATGCACTAGACAGGGATCCCACAGCTTATAAAATCGCTCAGCAGCTTTCAGAATCGTACCCGTAAGTTGTCTTCTCCTGTCTTAAATACGGTTGAGATAAGGATTTATACTGTGGTATTATGTACACAATTTAATATATTTTTATAGTTTTAATATATAGTTTTTAATGGCTTATTTTAGAATAGCGTTATATGCTGTATGTACCCTGTTAAATAGGAGATCCAATTAAATTTGAGTGTTTGCATGCAAGTTCTTCTGAGGTTTTTGGAGTTAAATGCATATTCTGTACTGTCTTAATTTTTGGGTGCGCATCAAGTAGCCAATTTTATATTTAAAAACTGATTTTAAAAAAGATTGATGTGCTCTGCTTGCTTTGAGATGATTCTGATAGCAGAGTTGTACAAAGGCACACACTTTTTGGTAAATTTCACAAAAAAGGATGCAATAATATACTTTTAAATAATTAGGTAATTTAAAAATGGCTTATGAATATTTCAATTTTTTAAAAAAATAATTGTAATTCTGTGTTAGGTTTGCTAAATATTTTGCTACTGGCTTCAGAAACTACTAAACAATTTAATAAGCTACTATTTCTGTGTAAAGCTCATGCTTCAATTCTCTTTTTAAACAGGGTGCTGAATTTGCTAAATGAACAATTGCTAAATGCAAATATTTAGGTTTATTTTAGTTATACAGAGTTCTTGATCCTTTCTTTTATTCAAGAAGCAGCCCAGCCAGAGTATGAGTACATTCATGCAAAAGTGTGCATTGTGTGGAGTTGAATATGAGCTTTTCAGAAAGTGCTATTGTTTAAATTTGACCAAGAAATAAAAATATGTAAATACAAAATTAAAGAATATGAAATAATTGATACTTAGGAAATTTAGGGAAGGTAGGAAGGAGAGGACACTTACTGTCAGGTTGAAAATGTTAGAGTATTTATTTCAAAAGAGATGATGGTGATTCTTTGAGTGACCTTAAAACCACTCAGTCATGAGACATGAGGAAAAGCAAATCTTACCAATAAGAACAAAACTGGAAGAGGTGGATAAAGAAACACCTGTTTTTTCAGTCATGTTTCCCCATGTAAAAAGGAGTTTGAAGACAGCAGTAGTACTCAAGCAATGCAGAAGGTATTCTTTGCCTTTTCTAAAAAAGAAGGCTAAACTGTGCATTCCTTTCTTCAAGTGCCATTGTCAGAGGCCTAGTGGGAGAAATGCAATTCTGCACAAACTATGAAAATACATCCAAGCAGGCAGCATGGCAAGAAAGCTTAGTTGAGTTTCTAGTCATCCTGCTCTGTAAGACCACTTAAATATATTTCTCTAAATTTTCAGTTCTTTGTGGGCTGAAGTGACATGCAGTATGTACTTACAAATTTGTGGAATTCCTCTCTCAAATGTCAGTTCTCCAGAGAATGTTCTTTTTGACAGAATAGTGTGTAGAACATTGGCAAGGAAAGTCCATTTTTCTTTTAAACTAAACTAAACCTGTAAACATGTTCCATCAGACAGTATGGGAGTTGTAAAGTCTTCTGTTCTTTGTGTCATAGAAAAAAGAATATATGTAGTCCAAATTAAGCTGATCTTAGATCTAATAAAAATTTTCAGAAACATTCACACAATGTAAGATGATTATGAACAGTCCTCTGACTCAATATATGTTTATCCATAAAGCATCCTGTGCAAACCTGGGTGTGAAGGAAGTTTATTTTCCAAATAGATGAAGAGATTTTTACACATGTTGGATGTTGTTCTCCCAATGATTGACATTGTTACTTCTCTGCTTGCTTATGTTTGTGAAAAGATGAGCTTTAATCTATACCAATTACAGTTGATGTAACTTATTACGACTTTATAACAAAGGAGCTCTCCTAGTTCCTATCTTTTTCATAAAATCATACAAACTTGGTTACTTGGACTGCAGACATGGTGTTGTCCACCTTTACAGATGCAAGTTCTCATTAGAACGAAGTGAATTCTTAAATAACATTTTGTTAAGTTGTTAGTGAAAAGTCTTGATCATTGAAAGATGACTGCATGCCACTTGAATGTATATTGTAAGATACAGAGCACTAGTCTTACTTGTTTTGGTGTTTTCCCTCATCTCCCATCTTTCCTATTGGAAAGAACAGGTGGGTCCTTTTTTTGAAGGTAAACGCATCTTTTTTTCATAATGGTTTATGTTGAAAATTAAGGTAAAAAAATGTTCATAATATGGTATATGTGCTCGTGATTAATCTACTTACCCTGGGAAGTCAGTTGCATAAAGCATTGTGAAATTAAAAGGGGGAAGGAGGAGGTATAACTATATCATTTATAAATAACAGGTAAAGCTAAGCTTTGCTTACAAATAAATTGTAAGTATAAAGGATTTACTTATGAGATATGGAGCTTTCATAAATGGATTTTTTTTCTTTCAGTAATCATTAAAAGATGATTAATCTAATATGGATTTTTATTGTCTTTTTTTTGCACTGTTGGAAGTAAATCTTTTATCATAATTTTATCAGTTTAATTAAAATCTGTGTTGGCATCAAAAGCACAGGGAATTCATCCAGTTGATGTCTTTATCTGGTTAGGTCTACTCTCAGGTAAAATAGTTCCCTGATTCACCAGGGAACCACAGAAATACTTGTGCGATCTTAAAAATGGCAATGGCTGCGTGCAGTTGCAAGCTGAGAGAAATGTAGGGTTGACCCTTCTGTAACAGGCAGAGCCGTGGGTGTAACTGAAGAACTACAACATAGAAGTATAGACTTCTTTACTGTTTTTCTGTTCTAGGGTTTTTCAACTCTTCTGTTTAACATTGCTGTTTTGGGAGAGGTTATTTGACTTGCTAAAGTGCTTTGCTTCCTTCGGAGGTGAGGACCCAAGGAGGGGGAAATGGCTGTTACACAACTAACCAGTAAAATCTGATTCCTACTGTGCCTGAAGTTGTGAATGCAATGGGCAAATCAAAAGTCATACATGAACTGAGTTTTCTGTTGCCATTTTGTTTCTACTTGAAACAGAATATTGTACCTGTTTGTTTAATTGGGGATGTTAATAAATGCAAGCATATCAACTACATGACAGATCTTGAGTCTTGCAGTAGTATTTGCAGTAGTCCATCCTGCCATGAAAACTTCAATTCTAAATATCCGGTGTTAATTGCTATTGTTTGTTCTGGTTAGGTAGCATTAATAATCCTAGTAAAATCATATAGTTCCAACTGTTACTTACTATGAAGCTTCATTTTTTAAGCATCCTATATCTTAAGTCACTGAATTACAACATTATTAAAGCTGCAGATATATATTCTGCATATATAAAGTTGCAGAAATATGCCTAAAGATATGGTTGGAAGAGATAAGTGTGGCTGAATTAGGGGATTTTTCGATATTCAGAACTAATAAGTCCTCCTTGTACTTAGCCAAAAGACAGCTGGAATAATGTCACTGAATGAGAAACGCTAAGGAAAAATACATTTCACGTTTGTATTTTAAATATGTCTCTTTGCTTCTCGGTAGTGATTTTGTCAGAACTAAAATCTGAAGAGGATAGAGTTCCAACTGCAGTTCTCACATTTGTTTAGTCTCTGTTTATTATTTTTATTTTTTAAAACATGTAGTGCTGCTTTAATAAGGAGAAAATGGGTCAGGGCCTGTTAGATATTCAGTGTGTGGGTGGGAATCCTTTGACGTGCTTTCTGGGGAAGCCTCTAACTTGGGAATTGCTGATGAGAATCCAGGAGAATGCGATAAAATTCAGTCAGTAGCAATATATATTACAAGTAAACCCTTTCACACCCACAGAAAGGGAGAGGTTAGAGAGGTGGCTGAAATCTGGCAATTAACCACTATCATTGCGAGCTTTTAAGTATGAGAAACCTATGTAAAGCCTACGCAGAGACAATATGTTATTTGTAATTCTCTGGGCGGAATAACAGATCATGCCCCAAAAGTAAGGATAAACAGTATAAAATTCCTCATACAATTTAACTATCACTTTGTTGTAGTTCTAAAGTAATTTTGAGGTGTGATGGTGCTTGTGGATTTTGCTTTCAGGGTTACACCAAGTTTACAGAAGTGGAATAGGACCATCAGCTGCGCATTGTATGTCTTGGGAAAAATAGAGTGGTTTTTTTCAGTTCTAGGAAAACACAACTTTTTTTGGTTGCAGTAAGCTTATTTTAAGTGCTTGTGCATTGTAGCTGAGTGTATTATATATTGATGCTTTTGTTGCTATATGTTATTTATATAAGCTACTATTTAACTTTTGGCTGTAGTGCATAAGGAATACAATTAACAGTGTGCAATCAAGGCATATTCATTATAATGGTGCCTTAACTATATATGTTACCTATAGTGTTATTTCTTTCTGAAAGAATCTCCATATATGTCAACATCTGGCTGCCTCTGAAATGCAGGCAAGGCAGATAAATGAGTTGCCTTAAATATGAGATGGAAAAATGCAATTGAGAGCACTAGAGAGACCTTTAAATGCCATTATATTAAAATAGTGCTTTTCTGTCATTTATTTTGTTCCTCAGAAGGTTTATTCTGAGGAATAACCCAAATATGCTTCCTTATAAAAACATTAGGAATAAAAATTGTTTCTCTTGTTGCAGTTGTGCAGGTTTCAGACTAGAAACCTTTGCTTGCTTTCATGCGTACACTCTGATCCTTCAATATATCAAGTTCCTGGTTCAGATTTGGGCCCAATTGAAAGTTACCCTGACATACAAAACACATGCGATGGTCTACTTTAAAAATCTTTTTTTTCTTTCCTTTTTACTTTCTTTTGTAACTAGGCCTTTCAGTGCTTTCTTAAAACCTTGTCAACTTCAGAGAGAAAGACTGTGGATGTTGTTTACCTAGACTTTAGTAAAGCCTTTGACATTGTTTCCCACAGCATTCATCTGGAGAAACTGGCTGCTCATGGCTTGGATGGGCATACTCTTCGCTGAGTAAAAAACTGGCTGGATGGCCAAGCCCAAAGAGTGGTGGTGAATGGAGTTAAATCCAGTTGGTGGTCGGTCAAAAGTGGTGTTCCCCACGGCTTGGTATTGGGGTCAGTT